AATGACAAAGGTTAGCATCGTTACTACCATTATGATTTTCACATAGGGAGCTGAGGGTCCAGCCTACATCACACAGCAGGAAAGTCAGTTGGGAAACCCCAACCCCAGGTCCCACTCTCTGCCAGCCCCCCTGGGTGCCTCCCACGATAAAGCCTCCACATTCTGTACAGATGCGGCTCCATGGCAAATAAGATACATTTCCAGTTACCCTGGGGAGGCTGAAGACTGGCTTACCGGACACAGCTGAGCCCAGAGCCCTCCCGCACTGTCATTTCAAGGAGAATCCTGGCTGTGTGACCCCCCCTCTCTGGGTTGGCTTCTCCAGTTATAAGATGGGGGGGTAGAACTAGGAGGTCCTGCCACTCGCTGTGACCAGAGAACAATCCCCTTCAAGTCCAGACCTCCTACGCGCTCCGGGCCCACACCTCCCGGCCCCCAGCGAATCTGGACACTCTGGCACTATTTAATGAGGCTCCTTGCGCTTGAGGTCAGAGCAAGAGATGTCAAGTTGCTGGAAATTTTTAAGTTATGGAAACAAAAATTTCAGGGGAGAGGGTGGAACACGAGCCGTTTTCAATATGTATTTTTAGGTCGCTGTACAGGCCTGAGGTCTCTTTGATTAGTTTAGAAACAAAACCAGATGTGCGTCTTGGGTCTGCTTGATGTAGACGTGGGCGGGACTGGAGTAGAGACCGTTCCCCACCGGATTTTCTGATTTGCTGGGAAAAGCCAAAAGTTTCTTCGGAACAAAGAGACAGACCCCTCCGCCCTCCCCCTGCCCGTATTCCATTCTTTTCTTTCTCCTTGGCCTTCCCTTCCTGCTCTGAAGGGGTGTCTGACAGCCCCTGGGAGGTCTCCAAAGCTCGGGCATCCAGCCCTGACCACAGCCGGAGCCCCGCCCGGCAGCTGGAGACAACTGCTTCCAGATGTGCGCAGGCCAGGAAGTGCCCAGACACCCGGGCTGGAGGGCCAGTGTGGACCAGCCCAGGGGCCAGAGGGCACCCTGGCCCCACCTGCCTGCCTCCTGAGATGTTCCTCTCAAGCCACGTCAGGAAACGCTCCAGAAAGATCGGGCTCCTCACCCCAGGTTCTGCGGAGCCAGCCCGGGTGCTCACACGCCATCCCGCACCCTGTCGCAGGCACACTGGCTGGTTCTAAGCCCCGCAGGGGGACTTCGCCCAGCTCAAGGACTGCTTTCCCGGTCTGTAGGAGAGTGGGTGTGGCCACGGCACAGGTGTGGCGACGTCGCAGCCAACCGGGATTGTGGGTCTGCCCAGGCGCAGGCCACTGAGGCCTCCTGATCTCCACAAGGATATCAGGCACGGAGCCACCCACACACTTACACGCCTTCTCTCCCTGGATCCCCACAACCAGCCTATTCAGTAGATGTTTTTAGCCCATTTCCAGGTAAACCCATGAGCTCAGAAAAATTGAAGGCCAGAGGGGACACCCAGGTCTGTGTCACTCACAGCCCGAGTGCTGAGACTCTGGGCCCTGCTTCCTCCAGTTCCGCGCACAGGTCCTGTGGGCAGATGTTTGGATGGGCAGGGCACGGCTGGTCAGCCACATCTGGGGTGGGCAGGGAGGGAGCTTGGATGCTGACGGGCCTCCCATGCGCTCGGGTGGGGCCCTGGCTGAGGGAGGACGGGACTTGGGGACCCACATGCACACACAACCACACACGTGCACACAGGCACCTCCACCCCTCCTGCTTCCTGTCCTTCACAGCCTCCCTGGGTGGTTTGGAGCTTCCTGTCTCTGCCTCTTTGCTGTAAAGGACTCCCAGGCTTTCTGGAAGTGAACAGCATAGAAATGATGCCTTTCAACGGGGACCCTCCCCCCGCCCCCGCCCCGGGCAGCATATGCAGGAAGTGCAGCTCTCACACATGTTGACTCTCAGACACACTCACGCCCCTGCAGGCTGGGCCCCTGCCGGCCCTGGGGTAGGTCAGCCTGTGGCCCCCAGAGGGCACCCAGACTTCAGGCCATAAGTCCAGAGTCTGGGCAAAGGGAAGTGGGACATAAGGAAAGAGAGTTAGAAGGAAAGGGAGAAGGAGAGAAGAAGGAAAAAGAGAAGGAAGGAGGAGGAAGACGGGGAGGAAGGACAAAAGAGGAAGGGGGCGGAGTCTGGAACAGGCCCCCTCTTGAGCCCCAGTGAGTGCACAAGGTGTAGCCCACTTATCTCCAGGTCTCAAATGAGATGTACAGTAAATCAGACTTTTATTAGCTGTGTGATCTTAGGCAGATCTGAGCCTCAGTTTCTTTTTCTGTAAAATAGGGATAATATAGTAGCTTTGTCGGAGAGAAGCACAGAACACATGGAAGGTGCCCGATGAAGTCAGAAGACAGATCAAACAGGGTTCCTGGAGGCCCAGGTGAGGCCATAGACATCCCATGCCAGGCACATGGTGCATGCTCCGAGGATATTAACTGCCCTGGTTCCTAACATTACTGTCATCTTTATCACATGCCAGGCACTGCTCCCGGTGCCTTTGCAGCCACTGTCTCATCTGACCCTCCCACAACCTCGCAAGGGGTTATGTCATTATCCCTATTTGTGGATGGGTTAGGCAGAGGCCCAGAGAAGCTGAAAAATCATTCATTCAAGGGCACACAGCTGGCAAGTGGCACAGCCAGGATGTCAGAGCGTCCCGGAGCCTGTATCTTTTCCACGACATCACTACAGGGTGGGCATTTCAGGTTTAAGTTGTGATTTTTAAAAAGTGAAATGAGGGGTGACCCTCTTAACTAACACTTACTAAGCATGTACCGGATGCCAGGCCCTGTGCCCACTGTGCGTGTCCTTGAATCCTCACCATGACCTCAGGAAATAAGTAGTATTATCCTTATTTTTAAATTGAGGGGACTGGAGCACAGAACGGCTAAGGAATTTGCCCAGGGTCACCGGCCAGTAAGGGAAGGACCCGGATTCAAACAGAGGGAGTATCCCAGAGATGTGCCCTTAACTACTCTGCTGGAGACACATCAACCTCATGTAGTGACATGAGGAACAGTCTCTAAGACTTTTTTTTTAAATATATTTTAGGTTAAAAGCAAGATGCCGAACAGCCTGTCTAAAGTGCTATATGTTTAAAAGGAGACATATGGACACGGATGTTGTCATCTGCACAGAGTGTCTGGGAAGCCTGCGGGAAGCTTGTCACCCTTGTTGCCTCCAGGAAGAGGAACTGGGAGGCTGGGGTCAGGGACAGGGGCGATTCGCACTTTTGTACCCTCCACATTTTTTGTAGGTGCCTTTAAAAGTATGCGTGTGACGTCCCCTGGTTCAGAAAGAAACTCTTTTCATTGCTTCCTCAGCTTAATGGAATGGCAGTGTTAGCCTGTTCTCAAGGCGGCTCCGCGAGGGGGCCTGGGCAGGGACAGAGGCCCCACCCTGACTGGAGGCCCCTCCACCCCTCCCTAGAGACGAGCGGTAATGGGCAGCACGTGCGCATCCTCGTCCACAGTCTGCAAAGGAGACTAGCTGTGGCTCCAAGGGCTTTCCCTGTTACCTCTGCTCCAGGCCCAGGACCCCCATTACAGTGAGAGGCCTGCAGACCAGTGTGATCTGCCAACCTCCAGTTGGAGAAATGACCTTCTCATCCTGGAGAGCACTCTAGAACTTTCTATAGCTCACTATTGCCTCCCCCAGGCAGGCAGGCTGTGGGAAGACCTCTGACCTGGAGGACAGGGCCCCGGGTCCAGGCTGCCTGCCCTTACTCACTGTGACCTTGACAGGACTGGTTTCCCACTCTGGGCCAGCTTCCCCACCAACAGAGCAATGGCAGCCTGGGATGCAAGGTCCCTCCTGGCTCTAAAAACGTGAAGACCCAAGGACTCCAATGCACCCTGCCAGCCCCAGGCCCCCTCAAGCGGCCCTACCACTCCAAACCCCACCTCCTTCCCCTCACAGCTCCCCTCCTCCTCCTCTCCTGAGAGCCTCCAGTGCCCTGAGGCCCCAAATCGCCTACGAGGGCCCCCACAGGCTTTGCCTGACCGGCTCTCACTTGGATCTGGTCACAAATAGCCAGGTAGGTACTTTAGCCTAAAGCCTCAATGGCACATTTCACATCCGTTTCAGAGGTTCATCCTCCTTGAGCGGCCACAGAGACCTCTGAGCAGCAGCTCTCAAAGTTCAGCATCACCAGAGCACTTGTTCAACACGCAGATTCAGGGCCCACCTCACAGAGTCGGCTTCAGCCAGTGGTCTGGATGGCCAGGAGTGAGGCCGGAACGCGCGCAGTTAACAACGCCCCTGGATGCTGCTGCAGGCGGTGGGCGCGCTGCAGGACAGCCCCTCCTGGTGGGCACTCGGAAGCTTCAAGGTTCTGTCCCCTCTTGGGGTGGCGGGGCCGAAAGGGACACTGGAGAAGGGGCAGTTTGGGGGGAAAGGTGCCAAGGTGCCAAGTTCCGGTTTGGACCCATCAAATCAAAAGTACCTGTGGGAGTGTCCAGAGGGAGGGGCCGGGGGTAGCAGGACCAGGGCCCAGGAGAGGGTCTCCTCCGGAGAGAAGAGACCCAGAGTGAAATCCAGAGTCTTCTGCTGAATCTGCAGCGACATAGAAAGGAGAGAGGAGGTGGGAGGAAGGAAGATTGCAGGGAGGAAGAAGTAACTAGCTCTGACGGGGCAAGTGAGGGGACCTGGATATGGTGGCCCCCCGGTTCCAGGGTCCAGTGACTTAACACAAAACCAGGAACCCCAAGGCCTGGAGCAGAGGAGTGGGCGCGAGGGCAGCGGGCGGCGCCACTTCGCAGATGAGCGAACTGAGGCCGGAAGGGCAGTAGATCCCGGCAGGGGACCGGCGGCTCCCCGCGGGGACAGCCGGGCCCGCCGGGCAGGAGCTGGGGCGGGGGCGCGGCGGCGGGGAGGCGGCGGGCGGCCGCGTGGCCACAGCGCCCCCTGGCGGCCGTCGGGACGCCTGCGCGCCGCGGCTGTGTCCCCGCCAGAAGGTCGCCGCCCGCGCGGCCAGCAGCTTCCCAGATACCCCACCCCACCCCACCCCTCGAGCACTGAAACGGCTGCCATCCGGCGTCAGGCCCCAAGCAAAGTACACCCGTCTATATGTTTAAAAGTGGACAGCAGGTGCCCACGGCTGTCACCCCTCCCCCAAAGAGGACGTTTCTCTTGGCGAGCTTTTGAATGTCTTCTCCCAAACAGTGGTACCTAAACGTGGAATCCCGCATTCCAGTGTGACCCCTGTCCTCATGGCACCTTACTTTAAACTCAGGCATTGGAGGGCATGTCTGAAGGCTCCCTTTTCCTGTGTTGAGTTTGGAGTCTTAAAAGGAGAGAAGCCACCTCCTGCCCTGCCCATCCTAACGACAGCTCACACCGCACACGTCCTGTGCCAGGGGCTGTTCTGAGCCCTTCCCAGGTATGAGTCCTCACATCAGCCTGTTATGGTCCCCGTATGAATGAGGTAGCTGAGGCACAGAGAGGTTTAGGAACTTGCCCAAAGTCACACCTTTAGAGGGGGAGATACGTTTTTAATTCAGGAAGTCTTGGTTCCAAAAGAGAAAAGGGGATAAAAGGAATGGGGAGGGACAGAAAATTCACTTCTAAGAGGGGGCCTTGTGGAGTACCTGGGGCCTCCATTTTGTCTGAGGGTCCAGCACACCCTGTTGAAAATGCTCTGGCATCAGGGGCCAGGCGATGAGACGGGGAGCCCCAGGGTGGGCGCACTCTCGGTGAACTGCCCAGGCCAAGATTTGGGGAGCCGGATGAGGGATTGGGAGGGAGGGGCACTTCTGCCGCTCCCCACCCCACCCACCCGGGCCTCTCTGTCCTTCCGCTGGCCTGGGGATGGTCCACGAGGATGGAGATGGAAAGTGGCGCCAGGGAAGAAGGAAGCTTTTGCCTGTCAAGATGATTTCTCCAAGCTCCATCAAATGCCTGGGTCACAATAGTTCCCTGTGGCTTTACGTTCAGCTCTGATCCTCCCTTCCCTCTGCCCCCAAACCCTGCCAGAGATGCAAGAACAGAAACCTCATGAGCCACCTGATTTCTCTGGCCTCAAGCTCTAGAGGCCTGAGGTCCGTACCTTCCAGAGCTTTCCCTTCCTGGCTGAGATCTGAAATCTCCAAGTTTTCCAGTCAAGCTGTGTAAACCCATCCAGGTCCCCACACACGCCACCCCACGGCCTGTTGTCAGCAGGCTGCAGAGCTGCACCCAGAGGAATGGACGGGCCCGCGGGGAGGAAGGGGGAACCAGAGCAAGAAGGAGGGGCCACTACAAGACCGGGCTCCCAGACTTAACCGGAACCATCTTTGTGATGGAAAGACTAACACGGGACCCAGTTTCCTCTCCGTGAATGAGTGAGTTGGAAACCAGGCAAGGCCTCCGCTGTGCTAACTGGGCCCCAAGCCCCAGGACGGAGAGGGGTGAATCCTGGGAAATCTCGGGAGGAAGGAGACGCACCCCACCGGTCTGACTGGTCCCTGCTACTAACACCACCCTGGAGAAAGAGGCCGACCTGAATTGCTTATTAAAACAAATTATCCGAGGGGCTGGCCCCGTGGCTGAGTGGTTAAGTTCACGCGCTCTGCTGCGGGCGGCCCAGTGTTTCATCAGTTCGAATCCTGGGCGCGGACATGGCACTGCTCATCAAGCCACGCTGAGGCGGCGTCCCACATGCCACAACTAGAAGGACCCACAAAGAAGAATATACAACTATGTACTGGGGGGCTTTGGGGAGAAAAAGGAAAAATAAAATAAAATCTTAAAAAAAAAAAAAAAAAACAAATTATCCGAGTTTCTCTGCCTGTCTCCCTTATAGGAACTCATCCACCAATTCTCCCGGAACATACCACAATTGAAGCAGGAATGTGTCGGCGCTCAGGTATACTCTCCCCTTTGTTATAAATGGCTGGACCTTGGTGCAAGGCATGCTGGGATAGGGCCCTCAGGGACCCCCTCGAGGTCTTCCTAGAATAGGCCATGCCCCCCCACCCCCGCCAGCCTCAGGGCCTGTGCACAGGCAGCTCCCTCTGCCTGGACTGTCCTCCCCCAACTTCTTTCACCCATTAAACTATGAGTCTTTCTTCAGCTGCAGGGAAAATGTCACTTCCTCCAGGAAGCTTTCCTGATACGTCTCCCCTGAGTCTAGGGTACACCTTCCAGGGAGCAGGAGTCAGGGGGGCTTATGTAGGGTTCCCAGAAAGCACAGCCTGAGGCCAGGCCTGGGGTGCAGGGAGTTTATATGGGAGAGGCTCCCAGGGAGCAGGAGCGAGGGAGTGGGGAGAGTGACACAGGGAAGAAGAGAAAGCTCATTAAAAGATGTGTGTGGGCAACATGGGCTCTGCCGGGACCTCCTGAGAAGCAAGGAGAAGGCCCCAGAACTGGTCCCCTGCAGGACAGGAGGCAGCAGCTTTCATCCACCAGTTCCCTGCCTCCATTGGTTGAAGGTTGTCCACGGGGAATTAAGAGCCTATATCAACTCTATTTTCTTATTTTCTGTATTCTGAATGCTCTGGCATCTGGGGCCTTGATCCTGGAGAGACTGCCCACCCCCCACCTTGAGTTAGTTAATTCCTAGCAAACGATGCCCCCGGCCAGCCTCTGATGTGCAAACCAACCAATCAGAGCCCGCACACCTAACCATCTCCTTTATCGAACTCTCACACCACACCAGTATGCCCCATGCCCTAAATCATCATCCCAGGACCAGGTACTGGACAACCAGGGACCACTCCTGTGGCCCAGAGCCGCCAAAATTATTCCAACTTTCCAATCTTAAACTTACTCAGCTTGCCTATCCTGCCTGGTGCATTCCTTCCCACAAAATCCAAAATAAAGACTCTGGACCATGATCTACCCTCTCCCTCTTCCGCCTCCTGACTGACCCTGTCCGTCCCCACGTGGTCCTGTGTGGTGTGCCACACCTCCTGATTCTAGGGCTCTGCGAGTACACACTTCTTCCCTCATGACAATCATTTCCATGTCTACGTGTCTTGCCATACTCAATTCAAACACATCCCAGGCACACTTGACCACAGGCCCCCACACTGCCAAACGTGCACGGGCTGAGAGGGACCCCACCACATCAGAGAAGGTCCTGAGGCAGAAATGAACAGGCACCTGGTGCACCCATGAAGTTGACACTAAGCCTGAGGTGTCACAGAACTGGCCACCAGCCACCATAGCTGGGGCTGAAGTCAGAGCTGGCCAAGGAAGGTGAAGAGCAGGGCACCAGAGGCATCCGCTCCATCCTTGTGCTTGCTTGTATCTCACCATCGATCCCCCAGTGCCGTGCATAGTGTGGGGGCTTAATAATTACCTCCTGAATTAATGAATTATTGGTGACTGAATGAAGCAACGTTGTAAGGCTGACCCCCGAAGGAGAATGGCTGATAGTCCAAGATAAGATACTCAAAGACTCCCGGTCCATTAGGTCCAGTGGTCAGCCCATCCCCAGCAGAAATCCAGCCAGTAGCTAAGGATCCCACCCACAGTCCAGTAACCAAAGCATCAAGGCAGGTAAGGCTGGGTCAGGTGACAGAGCTGTAAGCCCAGTAGGGAAACTGAGGCACCAGATTAAAGGGCTTGATGAGATGCTGGGTCTTCCCCCAATGCCTTGCGTTCAAACAGGACTCCCTCCAAGTGCCAGGGCAGCGTCGGGTATCAGAGGGTAAGGTGAGCACAGAGAGGCCCAGAGATTCACACTGGGCAGGACCAGGGTGACACATCCAAACAGAAACTAAAAAAAAAAAAAAATCCATAAATCTCTTCCCCTAGGCTTTAGAATGTTCCAGAAAATCTTTCCTTGAGTCAGCAGATTCATCTTCTGGAATGGCCAACACAGGTGGCACAAAGGTGCCACACCTGGGGGACATCTTATGTATCATAAACATCATAAATGCATGTAGTGCCGTAGTGCCATGAACTTCCAACAGATGACGGTAAAGAGACTCATGCTAACAAAATCAGTAGAGTGCAGGCATTTTCCCACAGATGGAAGTAAGTGTCTTGAGGAGACGGAGTTTTTGCCCATTGTGTTTAATTGGGTTGTGTGGCCGAGCGCTGGATTTTGCCGTTTCTCAGAGGATTTTTCTCAGAGTCAGAAGCCCCTAGGTCCTGAGAACATAAACCAAGGGAGGGCAAAAGTCAATAGACCCACAGATGAGGAGGCTGAGGCAGGGGTGGGGTGAAGCTGTTTCCCTCTGTATCTCCTTAGTTGCCGTCTTCAGCCTCATTCAGGCCATAAACACTTGCTGAATTCTGCTAGCACGTGGGTGCAGGTGGAGGACGCATATGACCACGACTGGGTCCTTTTATCCAGTGTCATGGAAAGAGAAATGACCTTATAGTTAAGCAGACCTGGTTCAAATCCAGCTTCTACTGCTCAGAACATAGCAAGTCATGTACCCTCCCCGGTTTCTTCATCTGCATAATGAGGGTAATGACATCTGCTTTGCAAGATGTTTACAAAGATCGGAACGATTATGTGAGTAAAGTGCCTGAGCCGAGACTGGAGCAGAGAAGGAGCTGCAGTAGAAAGAAGAAGGAATACTGGTTCCTTCTTCCTTCCTTGGCATCGCGGAGCTCACTGCCCAACTGCTGCTGCAGCCTATATCCATTCGCTTTTGACGAAAGAAGGAATAATATTACAGTTATTTTGCAACGTCACAAAGTGGTACAGGATTTAGTAAAAGATCCCTGGACCCAACATAACACAATGCAACTGAGAGAAAACCTCCCGTACTGGCGAGGGAGAAATAGACAGCAACACAATAATAGCAGGAGACTTCAATACCCAGCTTTCAACGATGGGCAGAACAAACAGATTAGTAAGGAATAGAGGACTTGGACATCGCGAGAGACCAATTGGACTTAACAAACATACACAGAACTCTCCACCCAGCAACAGCAGAAGACACATTCTTCTCAGGTAGGCATGGAACATTCTCCAGGACAAACCACATATTAGTCCACAAAACAAGTGTGAACAAATTTTAAAAGTTTGGAGTCATACAAAATATCTTCTTTGATCATAATGGAATGAAACTAGAAATCAACAGCAGAAGGAAAATTTGACAATCCACAAATACGTGGAAATTAAACAACACACTTTTGAACAACCAATGAGCCAAGAAGAAATCACAAAGGAAATTAGAAAAATACCTGATATGAATGAAAACAAAAACACAACATACCAAAACGTATGTCATTGAGCAAAAGCAGTGTTAAGAGGGAAGTTAAGAGCGAAGCTATAAACTTCCCTTTTACATTAAAAAAATTCCCTCTACATTACATTCTCTCTACATTAAGAAAAAAAGAAGAAAGATCTCAAATGAACAGCCTAACTTTACATCTCAAGGAAACAGAAAAGAACAAACTGAGCCCAAAACTAGCAGAAGGAAGGAGATGATAAAGATTAGAGCAGACATAAATGAAATAGAGAATAGAAATACAGTAGAAAAAATTAATGAAAATAAGAGTCAGTTTTTTTAAAACATTAAGAAACTCTTATCTGTATTAACCAAGAAGAAAAAGAGAAGGCTGAAATTTAAAAAATCAGAAATAAAGTAGGGGACATTATAACCAATGTCACAGAAATAAAAAGGATTATAAGAGGCTACTTTGAACAATTGTACACCAACAAGTTGGATAACCTAGAAGAAATGGATAAATTCCTAAAAACACACAACCTGCAAGACTGAATCATGAAGAAAGAGAAAATCTGAACAGACCAATAACTAGTAAAGATATTGAATCAATAACCAAAAACCTCCCAACAAAGAAAAGCCCAGGACCAAACGGCTTCGCTTAGGATTCTACCAAACATTTAAAGGAGAAGTGACACCAATCCGCTTCAAACTCTCCGAAAAAATTAAAGAGGATGGAACACTTGCAAACTTATTCTATGAGACCAGCATTACCCTGACACCAAAGCCAGACATTACATGAAAAGAAAACTTCCCATACCAACATCCCTTGTGAACACTGATGCAAAAATCCTCAACAGAACACTAGCAAACCAAATTCAACAGCACATTGAAAGGATTATACACTATGACCAAGTGAGAACATTCCTAGAACGCAAGCTTGGCTCAACATCTAAAATCAATCAATGCAACACACTCCACTAACAGAATGAAGGACGAAAGCCAGATGATCATCTCAATTGGTGCAGAGAAAACATTTGACGAGATTCAACACCCCTTAATGATAAAAAAAAGAACCGCTCAACAAACTAGGAATAGAACGAAACATCTATTTAATTATCATATACTTCTATATAATAAAGGTCATATATGAAAAGCTTACACCTAACATCATACTCAATGGTGACGCTGAAAGCTCTTCCAAGATCAGGAACAAGACAAGGATGCCCATTCGCGCCACTTCTATTCAACACAGTACTGGAATCCTAGCCAGAGCAATTCGGCAAGAAAAAGAAATAAAAGACATCCAACTTGTAAAGGAAGAGATAAAATTATCTCTGTTCACAGATGACATGATCTTATATGCAGAAAACCCTAAAGATTCCACACACCAAAAAAAATGTTAGAACTGTTCAACAAATTCAGCACAATTGCAGAATATGAAATCAACACGCAAAAATCGGTTATGCTTCTAGAGAGTAATAATGAACAATCCAAAAGGAAATCAAGAAAATAAGTCCATTTACAATAGCTAAAAAGAATAAAATACTTAGGAATAAACCTAATCAAGAAGGTGAAAGACGTATACTGAACACTAACATTGCTCAGAGAAATTAAAGAGACACAAATAAATGGAAAGACATCCTGTGTTCATGGATTAGGAGACTTAAAATTGTTAAGATGTCAGTACCACCCAAAGGAGTCTATGGATTCAAAACCCCATCCTAAAATCTAT